TTCTGATGTAATGGGGCACTCTGATGGATTCTAATGTAAGGGGGCACTCTGCTGGATTCTGATGTAAGGGGACACTCTGATGGATTCTAATGTAAAGGGGACACTCTGATGGATTCTGATGTAAGGGGACACTCTGATGGATTCTGATGTAAGGGGCAATTTCTGATGTAAGGGGGCACTCTGATGGATTCTGATGTAAGGGGACACTCTGATGGATTCTGATGTAAGGGGACACTCTGATGGATTCTAATGTAAGGGGACACTCTGATGGATTCTGATGTAAGGGGGCACTCTGATGGATTCTGATGTAAGGGGCACTCTGATGGATTCTGATGTAAGGGGGCACTCTGATGGATTCTGATGTAAGGGGACACTCTGATGGATTCTGATGTAAGGGGACACTCTGATGGATTCTAAGGGGACACTCTGATGGATTCTGATGTAAGGGGGCACTCTGATGGATTCTGATGTAAGGGGACACTCTGATGGATTCTGAATGTAAGGGGGCACTCTGATGGATTCTGATGTAAGGGGGCACTCTGATGGATTCTGATGTAAGGGGGCACTCTGCTGGATTCTGATGTATTCTGATGGATTCTAAGGGGGGGCACTCTGATGGATTCTGATGTAAGGGGGCACTCTGATGGATTCTGATGTAAGGGGCACTCTGATGGATTCTAAAGTCAAGGGGGGACACTCTGATGGATTCTGATGTAAGGGGACACTCTGATGGATTATCTAAGGGGACACTCTGATGGACTCTGATCTAAGGGGACACTCTGATGTACTCTGATCTAAGGGGGCACTCTGCTGGATTCTGATCTAAGGGGGCACTCTGCTGGATTCTGATCTAAGGGGGACACTCTGCTGGATTCTGATCTAAGGGGCACTCTGATGGATTCTGATCTAAGGGGGCACTCTGCTGGATTCTGATCTAAGGGGGCACTCTGCTGGATTCTGATGTAAGGGGGAACTCCACTGGATTATGATGTAAGTGGTCACTGTCATGCCCACAGCAACTAGCTAACCGGGATGTGGCCCATGACTGGGGTAAGAGGGAATGAGGGGGACTTACTTTGAGCATATAAGACTGGCCGTGATACACTTTCACAGCCCGCACTACCTCTGGCCACCACTAGAGGGAGACTCCACTCCAATCCAGCTGGCTGACCACACACAGGCAGATACGAATCTTATATACAATCTGGTGCACTCTAAGGGTTGGGGAGCAGCCTAGAAATTGGCGCACCCTTCTAGGATTCCTCCAGCTATCCTCCAAGCTAGGACCCCGGTGTTAATCACTCTTCCACTGTCCACACACCCCACCCCTCCCCCACACCAGACACTCGCCTTCCCCACACACTCCCACACAGACATACAACAAAAGGTAGCTTGCCACCACCCAACAGTTTGTACAGCAGAACGGTCTTCTGGAACACCCCACACACACACAGATCTCCGTCTGGCAGATCTGCTAGTTTACAATCTGCATGCAATCTGCCAACACACAGTGCAATTGCATACAGATTGGCAATGAACTTAGACTGAGCACATAGACACTACAATACAATACAATCTAATCTCTCATGAGATATGAGCCCGAGCTTAGTACACAGAAGTCACTTATTAATTTTATGATCTAATATCCCGAAAAGTGGGCGGAGCATAAAATATAAACAAAGAAAAAATATTTACAGAAAATACAAAAAAGACAAAAAGACACACAATTGGCTATTGACTATAAAATAAAAAGGGAATAAAAACAGAAATAAAACTTTTACCGAGATCTATCCTGCGACTGGAGCAAGTCAGAGAAAGTCAGCGATCGCCAGTCATGTGGAACCGGCTCCGTATGAATCACAACGTCCATAACTCAGGTCCTCAATTTAATGAAATATGGACGTGGGCTGGACATTAGTCCTCGGCCAATCAACCCTGGGGGGTGTTCCTGTACCAGCCCACAGGACGTTCTGGGGTTCTGAAGTCGATTGGACCAGGAACGGTTTGGATCACCAAGTCAGGCATAGAATTTCCGACACCAGCGCATCAGCCCGATGGTGACAGTAACAATCACTGTTCAGCTGTCACAATCAGGCGCCATATAACCGTTTTCTGCGTTTCTCTGGGATTCTACAGAGGCTACAAATACAGTTTTACATGTAGATGTAGCCTACAGTGTGTCCAATCAGAAGGAAGTATTTTCATCTCTCTGCAACTAATATTTTAGCTTTTATGAGAGGTGAACCCAATTCCTCTGATCTTTGGATATAAATCAGAGCTGGCAGACATTTTGGAGCCCCCTCCTGGTCCCTGCAGTTTCTTAAAGCTGAAATGGCTGGAGCTCTTCTTTTAGATTTCAAGTAGGTGGCAAACTGTGGCTACATACTGTAGGTGACAACGTTTTATTGGCATCCAGGTGTCACCTCCAGCCTAGAAGCTGCTCTGTCCTTTCAGATGCTGATTGGTGAACATATGTCTCTGACTGAATACTGAACACTTAATTGATCACTGATTGGTGAACATATGTCTCTGACTCTGACTGAAATACTGAAAACTGATTGGAGGACATATGTCTCTGACTGAATACTGAACACTGATTGGTGAACATATGTCTCTGACTGAAAACTGCTGAACACTGATTGGTAAACACTGAATACTGAACACTGATTGGTGAACATATGTCTCTGACTCAATACTGAACACTGATTGGTGAACATATGTCTTGTCTCTGACTGAATACTGAAAACTGATTGGAGGAGGACATATGTCTCTGACTGAATACTGAACACTGATTGGTGAACATATGTCTGTCTCTGACTGAATACTGAACACTGATTGGTGAACATATGTCTCTGACTGAATGCAATACTGAACACTGATTGATTGGTGAACATATGTCTCTGACTGAATGCTGAATACTGATTGAACACTCTGATTGAATGTGAACATATTGTCTCTGACTGAATACTGAACACTGATTGGTGAACATATGTCTCTGACTGAATGCTGAACACTGATTGGAGGACATATGTCTCTGACTGAATACTGATTGGTGGAATATGTCTCTGACTGATTGAACACTGATTGGACATATGTCTCTGACTGAATACTGAGCACTGATTGGAGGACATATGTCTCTGACTGAATACTGAGCACTGATTGGAAGACATATGTCTGACTGAATACTGAACACTTATTGGTGAACATATGTCTCTGACTGAATACTGAACACTGATTGGAGGACGTATGTCTCTGACTGAATATGAACACTGATTGGAGGACGTATGTCTCTGACTGAATACTGAACACTGATTGGTGGACATATGTCTCTGACTGACATATGTCTCTGACTGAATACTGAACACTGATTGGAGGACATATGTCTCTGACATATGATCTATGTCTGACTGAATACTGATTGGAAGACATATGTCTCTGACTGAATACTGAACACTTATTGGACATATGTCTCTGATGTACTCTGACTGACTGAATACTGATTGGTGGACTATGTCTTGGAAGACATATGTCTCTGACTGAATACTGAACACTTATATGTCTCTGACTGAATACTGAACACTATGTCTATGTCTGACTGAATACTGAACACTGATTGGAGGACGTATGTCTCTGACTCACTGACTGAATACTGAACACTGATTGGAGGACGTATGTCTCTGACTGAATATGAACTGAAGGACACTGATTGAACACTGATTGGTGGACATATGTCTCTGACTGAATACTGAACACTGATCTGTAATAACACGGAATGAGACGAGATCTACAATGACATATTTCTACAGATCACATGACATCCCCACTACTGACACAATGATTCTACTCTGACATTTATGTCACAGGCACTACTTGGCCAAACTTCAGAGGGAACTCCGAGACCCACCCAGCGCCTCACAGCACTTATCTTTATAGCAAGGATAACAAAAGCAAGATCTTGGAAATCCCCCAGGATACCCTTTGATCTTTTGAAGGCCAAATCTTTCTGGATAATGCTTCATGAACGCCTCTCTGCCATTCTGCAGGATAAAATGCCCAGATTTGAAAAAACTTGGGATCCTTGGTTCGCTTACCTGACAAGGGCCCACCTCATCTGGATCTTAGTGAACCTTTTAGAGATGCGGGAGCTGCTCGCTGCTTTTCCTTTCTTTTTCTATTTCTATTACTTTTTCTATCCTTTTCCTTTATTCCTTAACCTTCTCTATTGTCTTTTTCTGCATGGTCTCTTGGCCACTTGGGAGGGCCCATGGGGCTATAGGATGGTCACCATGGACCATGTTCCTACCTGAGAAGCTAATTATTTGGATTAAGAGGGTTTAATGACAATGCTAATTTTAGGTTGGGGTGACCCCTCCCTTCGGGGAGAGAGACCCGTGGTAAGTTGACAGGATACTTAATATTCAGGGAATGCAGCCATGGCCTTAGCCTTTCATATGCCAGACTCTATGGATGTGACGATGCATGGAAGCCATGCAACTGTACTGCGCCATTTTTCTTGCATTGTACCGTTTTATTTCTGATTTGTTGAAACTTCCATAAACAGATTGGAAATGAAAAAAAGGGGATCATGTTCAATACTGTCATTTTGTTATTTTTCTATATAAAGGGGATCACTTTCTGGAGAAGTTCTGCCTCCTCCAGTTATATAATCTGGGAAATCTCAGGAGGTTTGTTGGGAATTCTCTGTATCTGGTCTTTATGGAGGAGGACCCGCTGCTGGTCTACTGGTGGAGGAGGACCCGCTGCTGGTCTACTGGTGGAGGAGGACCCGCTGCTGGTCTACTGGTGGAGGAGGACCCGCTGCTGGTCTACTGGTGGAGGAGGACCACCTGCTGGTCTACTGGTGGAGGAGGACCCGCTGCTGGCCTACTGGTGGAGGAGGACCCGCTGCTGGTCTACTGGTGGAGGAGGACCCGCTGCTGGCCTACTGGTGGAGGAGGACCCGCTGCTGGTCTACTGGTGGAGGAGGACCCGCTGCTGGCCTACTGGTGGAGGAGGACCCGCTGCTGGTCTACTGGTGGTGTATGTTCTCTCTTCCATCCCAGCAGGCTGTACACGTGTCTCTGCCACTGGGAGGATGCATAGTAATAGATCAGAGGATCCAGACAACAACTGACACTGCTCATACTGACACTGATGACGTAGACGATGTACAGGAAGTTGCCGGCTTGGTGATAGACCTTCAGGAAATGCATGAACCAAATGACATTGGCTGGGCCAAAGCAGAGGACAAACACACACATCACAACCACAGACAGGAGGACGGCTCGGGATCTCTTCTGGGCGCCCTTCATTTTTGGAGCGCTGAGACTGCGGACGATTCCAATGTAACAGAAGGTTGTGATAATTAAAGGCAAGAAATATAAAAGTGAGATAAAAAAGGGGAAAATGTAGTAAACATGAAACCTTTCAACCAATTCGGCATCCTGAACATCAGAACAGGTTGTGATCTTTAGGTCGGGAAATGTTTGGGTTTGTTGCGCTATGAGAATCGGCGCGGTGCTGGCCATCGATATCGCCCAGATGCAGCAACACACCAGCCAGGCTCGTCTCACTGTGCGCCACGGAAGGGACTGGATTGGGTAGACCAGAGCCAGGAACCGGTCCACACTGATACTCATCATCATCAGCAGGATAGATCCACGCATGTTACTTAAATACATGGACGTGACAAATCGGCACATCCCTTCCCCCACCACCCAGTTATTTCCTGAGAATCGGTATACGATGTGGAAGGGAAGAATACTAACAAAGAGAACATCAGCAGTGGCTAGGTTCAGCAGGTACACCGCTGCCGGCTTCTTCACCTTCACCTTCACCAAGAACACGACGATCGCCATTATATTGAGAGGAAGAGCCACGAGGAGAACCACGGTATAGATGGAGGGCACAAACCTCGTCACCAGCCAGCTGTTCATATACTCCCTAAATTCATGTAAAAATGTTTTTTGCAGTATGTGGACCTCAATTTGTTGGGTTGTATTCACCGTGGTTTCATTACCTGAAAACATCAAAATATGAGCTGAAGTCATCGTATCAGAAACATTTTGCAGCATTTTTTACATTACATCAAACAGGAGGACAGCTGTGATCTCTTGTGTGTCCCCTTAATGTTGGGTGCCCTGAGATCTGCTGATGACTCCAATGTAAGAGGAAGGTCACAGCAGATCTCGGGTTATATGCCTCGGCTCTAGGAGGTTGGACACTAGGCAAATCAAAAGGCACAGCAGCTCGTCTTGATATGGTCCTGTCCACCTTAGATGGGGGCTCCTTGATACAGAGTGTAAAATATTTGCCACGTGCTATTTCTGATCATTGACCTGTGGAGGTTGGGCTACAACTGGGTGCACTTCCTGGGATTAAACATTGGCGTAGGAATGCGTAATGATTACAGGAGGATTATGTGAAACTCAATTGGGTGTCGGCTATAAGTCACTATTGGGCAGAAAATAGCAGAGATACCGATCTTCCCACACACAGTGGGAGGCGTTTAAGGTTACTCTTCGAGGAGCGTTTCTGAAAACTGTTAGAGACCTTTCCAGAGCTTTGGGGGTGGACATTGCTAAGGCAGGGTCACAGGTAGCCTCGATGGAGTGCTATGTGCGCAATTCATCTCCAACCAATTACATAATGCGGCAGGAATGTTCACGTGCATATCGTCTGCTCTTGGCAAGACAATCTAGTAACAATCAATGACATCAATGTAGACACATTTTTGGTGGCCTTATGGCTTTGTAAGCAACACCCTCCTATACCCTGATATCTATTTTGCATCTCTGGACATCTCAGGGATGCACTGTAGAGGACTCCCAGGGAGTGTTACATATGTTTGAGCAGTTTTGTCAAGTTCTCTATCAATCACAAGGAGGGGTTTCAGATTCTGATATCTCCTCGTATCTCTCCTCTATTCCATTACCTAGATTGCTCAGGGAATGTAGTGAAGCATCGGATCAAGCCATTACGACTGACGAGTCTAAAGCTGCAATGGCTTCTTTCGCCCTTCATAAATCTCTATGGTTGGATGGCTACCGAATTGAGTGGTATCAAACATATAAGGAATTGTGGCTCTACTTACTCCGAGTATATAATTTAGCTGGACGGGAGGGAAAATGACCATCTTCTATATGAGAGAGGCTTCTTTCGCTCTTTGTAAGTCGGGGTTGGATGGCTACCCAATTGAGTGGTATCAAACATAGGAATTGTGGCCCTACTTACTCCGAGTATATAATTTAGCTGGACGGGAGGGAAAATGACCATCTTCTATGAGAGAGGCTTCTTTCGTTCGTTATAAGTCGGGGTTGGATGGCTACCCAATTGAATGGTATCAAACATAGGAATTGTGGCCCTACTTACTCCGAGTATATAATTTAGCTGGACGGGAGGGAAAATGACCATCTTCTATGAGAGAGGCTTCTTTCGCTCTTTGTAAGTCGGGGCTTGGATGGCTACCCAATTGAGTGGTATCAAACATATACGGAATTGTGGCAAACATCTACTTACTCCGAGTATATAATTTAGCTGGACGGGAGGGAAAATGACCATCTTCTATGAGAGAGGCTTATTTCGCTCTTTGTAAGTCGGGGTTGGATGGCTACCCAATTGAGTGGTATCAAACATATACGGAATTGTGGCCCTACTTACTCCGAGTATATAATTTAGCTGGACGGGAGGGAAAATGACCATCTTCTATGAGAGAGGCTTCTTTCGCTCTTTGTAAGTCGGGGTTGGATGGCTACCCAATTGAATGGTATTAAACATATAAGGAATTGTGGCCCTACTTACTCCGAGTATATAATTTAGCTGGACGGGAGGGAAAATGACCATCTTCTATGAGAGAGGCTTCTTTCGTTCGTTATAAGTCGGGGTTGGATGGCTACCCAATTGAATGGTATCAAACATAGGGAATTGTGGCCCTACTTACTCCGAGTATATAATTTAGCTAGACAAGAGGGAAAATGACCATCATCTATGAAAGAGGCTTCTTTCGCTCTTTATAAGTCTCTGTGGTTGGATGGCTACCCAATTGAATGGTATCAAACATATAAGGAATTGTGGCCCTACTTACTCCGAGTATATAATTTAGCTGGACGAGAGGGAAAATGACCATCTTCTATGAGAGAGGCTTCTTTCGCTCTTTGTAAGTCGGGATTGGATGGCTACCCAATTGAATGGTATCAAACATATAAGGAATTCCAGGTGCCCTACTAACTATGAGTATATCATTTAGCTAGATGGGAGGGAAAATTACCATCTTCTACGAGGCATTGATAGTATCGTTACCTAAGCTGGGGAAGGATCCCTAGGTGTGCGGATCATATCGCTCCATCTCATTGAACAATGTGGACATCAAGATTTTGGCGAAAGTGTTGGCGAGGAGGCTGCAGTCTGTGATTACCAAGTTATGTTGGAGCAAATCAAATGGGTTTTGTGACGGGAGTGACTTTTGGGGGTGGGGGGACCTCTGTATCATCTCCCCAAATTCTTATGTTTAAGTGACCCTGTGCCTGTTAAAGGGTACAGGGTGTGTAAATGTGAATGTCCCAGCTTGTGTATAGTGTGTGTTCCTTTGTTCTCGGACACATGGCTGTCCATTGTTTGTTTGCCATGTGCTTCATCCCATTGTTCTGTGTCTTGGTTGGATGGGGAGGGGTGATGAGGTGTTTCCTGCAGCCTCCCACTGATGGGGCGGGCTGATGATGTGTTTCCTGTCCCTGGTTGTCTTTCCCCGCCCTCTGTATAAAAACATGTTGATAGTGTACAATAAAGGTAGTTTGCTTCCTGTATTAAGAAGAGCTGGGTGCTGTCTATTTCCTGAGGGATTTCAAGGGTGTGGTCCGTGGATGGTGTTCGGACAGGGGAAGCTGCGGTATAACGGAATATACCCAAGTGCGGTCGGGTACCGGTTCCGTTACAGGTTTTATGCCGAGTAGATGTGCGTACATTAACATCAGGCAATTGTTCATAAACGTACAAGTTACTCATGATAATTCTGCCCGTAGAGTAATTGCATCCTTAGATACAAAAAAAGGCTTTTGATTCTGTGGAATGGACATATCTTTTTCCACTCCTGGACAGGTATGGTTTTGGATCTAGATTTATCACTTGGGTGAAATTTCTCTATAGTGAACCTGTGGCTTGAGTAAGGGTCATTGGGCTTATCTTGGACCCGTTTCAGATTTATAGGGGAACCAGACAGGGTTGCCCTTTATCTCTATCTTATTCGCACTGACCATTGAGCCATTGGCTGTGAAAGTAAGAGAGGATGTTAATGTAAAGGGCCTATGTATAGGGGAACTTGAAGAGCGTGTGTCATTGTACGCTGATGATATGCTCTTATATTTAAATGATCCAGACTCTTCACCATCTGCAGACTTCTCAATTATTCAGGAATTTGGAGATTTTGGATAAATCGACTTTATTTCCGTTAGACGCACAACCCGACCTGCGGCCCCCTCCTCAATGTCCCATTGCTGTCTCAGGTACTTTTATAGGGGTTCAGGTTAAGGCAAGGCATGCGCTCTCAGCACATATGTATTTTCAAATGGTACGTATATATGTGGCCAATCGCCGTCAAGGCCCAGATGTCGAGAGGCCGCATATTTGCGTGCGCTCAGCGTCAAGGGGTTAAGATGGGTAGGAGAGACTCTGCAACCTGTCATGAATGCCTTGTAACTGAGGGAACATTCCTACATATGGTGTGTGAATGTGCTAAAGTCCGACCACAGTGGTTCCCCAAGTTACCCAGCTGGCACTTTCGATTTCCAAACATATGTAACCCACTCAGTTTCCTCCTGGGGGTAATTGAGGATGATATTATGGATAATGCCACAAGAACTTTTCTGAGGAGACTATTTTTCTATGTAAGTAATATTACATTAGACACGAACAGATGTCCTTGGCTTAGCAGACTGGAAAAAAAATGGTGAATTTTAATGTTCCTCTATGAAGCTAGAAGATGTCCAAAAACATTTTTATGAATATGGTCTATATGGACAGGATCCTCAGTGGAAGACAGCCCTTGAGCGATATAACTGGTATGTTGTGTAGGATATACAATATATTTGTGCATATGGCAATAAACTTCTTTTAAAAAAAAATTCACAGCAGATCTCTGGGTATATGCTTCAGCTCTAGGAGGTTGGACACTAGGCAAACCAAGAAGTCCAGCAGATCTTTGGGAATATGCTTCAGCTCTAGGAGGCTGGACACTAGGCAAACCAAGAAGTCCAGCAGATCTTTGGGAATATGCTTCAGCTCTAGGAGGTTGGACACTAGGCAAACCAAGAAGTCCAGCAGATCTCTGGGAATATGCTTCAGCTCTAGGAGGTTGGACACTAGGTAAACCAAGAGGTCCAGCAGATCTTTGGGAATATGCTTCAGCTCTAGGAGGCTGGACACTAGGCAAACCAAGAAGTCCAGCAGATCTCTGGGAATATGCTTCAGCTCTAGGAGGTTGGACACTAGGCAAACCAAGAAGTCCAGCAGATCTCTGGGAATATGCTTCAGCTCTAGGAGTCTGGACACTAGGCAAACCAAGAGGTCCATCAGATCTTTGGGAATATGCTTCAGCTCTAGGAGGCTGGACACTAGGCTAACCAAGAGGTCCAGCAGATCTCTGGGAATATTCTTTGGCTCTTGGAAGTTGGACACTAGGCAAACCAAGAAGTCCAGCAGATCTCTGGGTATATGCTTCAGCTCTAGGAGGTTGGATACTAGGCAAACCAAGAACTCCAGCAGATCTCTGGGAATATTCTTTGGGTCTTGGAAGTTGGATACTAGGCAAACCAAGAGGTCCAGCAGATCTCTGGGAATATTCTTTGGCTCTAGGAGGTTGGATACTAGGCAAACCAAGAGGTCCAGCAGATCTCTGGGAATATTCTTTGGGTCTTGGAAGTTGGATTCTTTGGTCCAGCAGATC